ACTGCACTACTAAGTCATCTAGATTTGCATCCTAAACTTTTGAGGGACATTGGTCCCTTTTCAAGGTAAAGGTCTTGAAGTGGTGTTCAATGTCATGGAAACGTAGGTAGATCTTAAAAAAAACATCAGGACAGGGACTAGGACAGAAAGCCACGCAGGAATCGGCGGATGTGCTTCTGGCAAAGATCTCAAGATGGCAACACTGTCGACAGGGCTGGGCTCCCCCAGGGGGGAGGAGCGGGAATGAGGAAGCGAAAGCAGATTGCAAGGGCACCCTCAGACCACCTCGTGCAGGTTGGTTTTCATTAAGAGCAGCATTTGGCTTGTAACCCTATACCTTTCTCAAGGACACGATGGCAGGGTTAGAGGTTGTGAACCTACAACTGGGACAGTATTAGGATTTTTTTAAGGTGGGGGGCATTAGAGAGGCCATAATTCATGCAGAGGGGACAACCTTATCAATAGTCAGTGATATGATTTGAATCGCTGAATGACAGGGCAGGGGGCACTTTGAGGGCCAATCAGCTTTCATCTGGGGCCGGTGCTTTGTGGGCCCACCCCTATACACACCCCTGGCCTACAACATATTCATCATCAGCGCCTTAACCCTGTTATGCCAACATAGACCTTATAGGTAGATATACGCATTATACAGCACTTTGGTGCAACAAATGCTGCTTTTAAATGTGCTTTATGAATAAAATTCACTTGACTGTATAACTGCAACAGACAATTCATATTTTGAAATGTTTCTTATATGTTAGTGCATAACTTCAAATAGAGATGATTTGAAAAAAAATAGCAAACAAACAAACACACACACAAACACAGATGACCCCGTGACCCTGAAGAGGATAAGCGGTTTTAGAAAATGGATGGATGGAAATATAAACACACACAAATACATATTTTCTGCGATGGGTTGGCACCCAAACCTGGGTTGTTCCCTGCCTTGTGCCCATAGCCTCTGGGATAGGCTCTGGACCCCCCCGTGACCCTGAAGAGGATAAGCGGTTTTAGAAAATGGATGGATGGATGGAAATATAAACACACACACACACACACACACATACTGTACATGGGTTGGCGCCCCATCCTGGGTTGTTTCCTTTCTTGGAACTGTAGCCTTTGAGATGTTCTGGACCCTCTGTGACCCTGAATGGGAGGAGTAGTTACAGAAGATGGATGGATGGATGGATATACATATTTTGTTTGCTTTATTTTCCTTAAAGCCTGAGATGGTACATGAATGAATGTATTACATGCGCTTCTACCATAAATCATACTGCCGTCATCTTTTGGTGTTTGGCATGGCCTAGACTGTGTGTCTCGAATGTCTTGCTGAAGATGGGCCTGAGGTTTCCTGACGTAATGGTTTTCTGAGCGATCCTGTCGCCGTCTCAGAGCCTGTGACATGAACACAATGGCTCTACTGCAGGAAGAGTGCGGTCTTTTTCGCTCTTGAAGGAATGCCATGTCCTGTACATTTAATCCACGTTTCTGGGCTGGGTACCAGCCCTGGAACGAGGAGGAAGCGTCTCATCCAGCCTGTTTTGGATCTGGAGCTGGACCTTTTTTTTCCCATCCTAAAATGTTACAGAAGATGAGGTGGATGATTTAAAAAGCACAACCAGTCAAAAGAAAAGACTTCTGAGAGCTGAGGGCATTATCTGAATCTTTGATGCTCTGCGATATGTGGAGAATGCCTTTGAGCGCTGCCGTCACTGGGTGTTAACTCACTACTTGTTGAAATACTTTGGCATGATAAACAGCCATGACAAAACTGATGTGATTTGTAGATAATGTTTCCCTCCCTATTTGTCACATGCCTGAATGTAACTGAAACACCCTCTTTGTAAAGTAATTAAATAGTGAACCTAGACTTACTAGAGGTCTGTAGAGTTTCTAACTTTGGGACTCACTTTGGAGTCTGTATGTAGTATCCAAACCTGCCCACTTAATGATGAGTTTATAGCGTTTCTGACCACAAATGTGAGGTTCCTATAAAACTTTTCCTATACAGCTGTCTTGTACTTGTTTCTGTTCAACCATTGGGAGCTTAGCTTGGCTTGTACCTCATTTGGACAAAAGCGAATGAATGAATGTATATGTAAATTTAAGCTGTAGATATATAGTATCTGTGTGGAACAACAGCCTCATGCCTCTGCATTTTCCTTTCTCCCCCACTTGTCCCTGGCCTCTTTGTCCTTATTTTCACAGCAAATTGATTCTATCGGTGTCGGCACGGCAACACGGATCCGCACCGTACTTTTCACAGCTGTGCTTATGAAAGAAAGATCAAGCGCCTTTCCCACATTCATGGACTGTGGGGAAACGTGTGTTCTTTGTGGCTAGTGCCAATTTGAATTTCAAACCGTAAGAAGCTCTCTCTTCCTGCTCTAGATGACCCCCCCCTCCCCCCCCCCATCTCTCAGGGCACTGTGGAGACGGAGAGAGTGGAAATTGCTCTTACAGGTTTACACTGATCAGTTGCAATACCAAGATGTCATCTTAGGGTGGGCTTTTACATATGTTGGGTGGGCACCAGTGTTCTTGTTGACTGGGGGTAGTGGGGGATCCGTTTGGGTGGGCAATACCCACCCCTTGCCAAACCGTAGTCATACCCCATCCATCCATCCATCCATCTTATATACCTACTTGTCCTATGCAGGGTCGTGGGGGGTCTGGAGCCTATCTTGGAAGTTACGGGGCCAAGGCAGGGAATGACCCTGGATGGGGAGCCAACCCCAGTGGGTCCAGGTGTACTCGCACCAGTCGATTCTTTCTGTGCCCAAGCACGTTTGACCCCCAAAGTCCAGTTTGTTTGACTAGTGTGATTGCTCAGTACCATGCCCAGGCTCAGTACACTTAACCATGCCCTGGCCCACTTGGACAGGTGGGCCAGAGCATGATTGATCTGGCTCAGACACTGTATGGATGTAGTGTGATCGCTAACCGTGCCCAAGTATGGAACACATACGCATATGACGTATGACGTCACTGATGCATGTGTACATGTACACTACACATGAACCGAACCTGGAAGGAACGGGATCAGGTAGCCTGTACCGATCACATCATCTATATCGCAAAACTTAATTGCAAAAAAATGAAGTGCGTAGAGAGATTATTGGGTGCTGGGGGGGAAACGGGGATCAGTGTTGATACGATTCGTTATCCATCCATCTATTTTCCAAACCGCTTATCCTATTGGGTTGCAGGGAATCTGGAGCCTATGCTGGAAGCTATGGGCACGAGGCAGGGAACAACCCAGGACAGGGGGCCAGCCCATCGCAGGGGACACACACACCATTCACTCACACATGCACACCTATGGGCAATTTAGCCTTAGCATGTCTTTGGACTGTGGGGGGAAACCGGATTACCCGTCACATTCGTTATATGTACCTGTATTTTTAAAAAAGCTAACATATAATATAAGCACCCATAAAGTTTACAGCAGTTTCTTCTGCTTTCTTCTCTTCATCTGCTCAATAAAGCATTAAGTTTCCCATGCAGCACATTATGTGTGATTGTCTACCTGCTTAAAACACAGTGTAGCAAATAGTGGTGTAAATCACAGCTTTCCTCGTGATACTATACAATATCGATTCCTTAAGCCAACGGTTCGATTTTTTTTTTGATACCTCAGAAATTCCCACAATACGATATGATTCGACTGGGATTAGTAGTCGAAATTTCACACAATCCTTTACATTTCAATGAATTAAAAAAGGCAAATATAATTAGCATTTTATCATATTTTATTGGGAACTGTAAACAAAATCCAGTGTAGTCAAGTATGTCCCATAAAACAAGCAAAACAAAGTGCAATAAGGTAAAAATAATTAAGAAAAATTAAATGGTCAACATGTACAGGAGTTCTGGCCCAAGTGTGAGTACACCCTTACAGTGCACCATTTTAATGCCTACCCCTAATACAAAGGCCTTGCAATATTAAGCGTGAAATACTGCTGTGCTGAAGCTGAAGGAAGGCAGGATCCTCGCTTCCACCACCATGGTGATGCCCAAGAAAGCCAAGGTGGTCGCCGGAGTCGATTTGCTTAAGGGGCTGTTTGCCGGCATTGGGGAAATACCCATCACATTCATAAAAACATGTCCCCAGGGAGAGACTGATGTCAATGGCGACAGGAGCTGGAATACCAGGGGTCTGCATGCTTGTCCCTGGCTGAGAGGTCATTTTGTAGGGCAAGATCTTAGCGGGAGAGGAGAGAGTGGAGGGAAACAGCTGGAACACGGGCAGCTCAGGCGGGTGCCGCCGTGGTTGAGAACAAGCAGCGGTCTGAGAGAGAAGCCTGACCTTCTCTTTGTCCATTTTTCTACGGCACATCAGTGGCAAACTTCTTCTAAAATGCAAGTTTTGCGCGGCACCAGGCAATGAAACCTATCATGCAACAATTCTTGAAAAACTGTGTTGGATAGTCTGAACTCAACTAAAACCCCTAGTTCTTTCACAGCACTCTCTCATTAGATTTTTTCATTATATTTTGCTTCCCTGTTACCATGATGGCTCATTCACTTCTGCCTGCTGCTATGTTCATGGCTGAGCACTGGAGAAGGATTAGCGTAAATGCTAAAAATGATGAGAGGCACGTTTTCTCCAGCGACCTGGTTAATTTATGGCTTATGCTGCAACGGAAGCCAAATGCTTGATGAATGAGGAGTGGGGGTGATGGAGTTCTAAATGGGGGCTTGAAATGACCTGAGACACCAAAAGGTTACAGTCTATGGCTCAGGCTCTAAACATGGATTTTCTCCTGCTATTCCAGATTCCTTCCACAGTCTAAGAACATGAGGTTTGGAGTTGTAGTGGCCCTAATTTGTCCATGGTTCACGGTGGTGTCTACATGCCCTGTGCTTCCTGGGATAGGCTCTAAGACCTTGTGCCCGGATAAGTGGTTGGGCGAACAATGGATGGATAACTATTAGCTGTTTCTTGGACGCGTGTTGATTCTTTGACACGTCTGTATCTCTCACAGGCGCCTGCAACTTTGAGAAGCCCTACACGTCCTGCGGATACATCCAAGGCAAAGATGATGACCTGGACTGGGAGCAGGTCAACACCAAAGAGAAACCATCCTTGGACCCACTGATGCCTGCAGGTTTGTCATCCAAACATGAATGGCATGCTCTTGGTTCCTGTTGAAGAGGATGCTGAACAACATCTCCATGGAACGTGATGGGTTTTGCTCAGTGGTAACATGGTTCATTGGACCATTAACAACTGGAGAGAGACATTTTCAGTAAAGTCAAAGAAAAAAAATAGTACATTCATAATAATACAAGATCACTCGCTGTGCCTGTGAGCAGCTGAAGGTCGATAGGGATTCTGATACCCAGTTATGGATTTGTAGCTCAACAGAATAAATTGGAGATGATTTTACTGGGAGCATGGTGGCTCAGTGCTCATTGTGGCCACACACCTTCAGGGCTGAGGGCTTGATTCACATCATCATTCTGTGAGTGTTTGGAGTCCCATATTCTCCCAACATTTGACTGTTGACCCTTCCCCCCCCCCCCCCCCCCCCACCACACTGGCAGAACTGTGGATCTGTCTCTGAGATCCCTGGTTAGTCCGTTGTTTTCCAGCAACACCCCAAAAAAAAAGGGCCCCCCCCCCCCCCCGAGGTCGTGATCTGTGAATTCGGACGTCTCAGCACAGTTCAGAGCTCACAGATACAGCGATACAGTGCCCACACTAGGAGCTTGTTCAGGCTTTTAGGCTGTGGGTTCGGAAAGGGGGAAACGCCCCAGTAAATACTGAATCCTCAAGTGAGTATGTTAGCGGGTGGGAGAGAAGTCTGAGATTGCTTTTAATTTGGGGGAAAACCCATGTTTTGCTAAATGCAGCTGTTTATCTGAAAACATAACGGCCAGCTAAGTGAAACGGCCTCAAGTTCAGTCCTGAAACAGAGAAGAAGTCAGAAGAGCTGATTCCAGATACGTAAAGATACAGATTTCAACAGTCCAATAGTTGATTCCTCCACCCCACAATGAGACTTCTCAATATGAATGATAATGCTAGAAATATGCTAAATAAAGTAAATGATTTGTTTACCGTTTTTGTACACATGCGACCTGGAGCACCTGCATTTTAAGCGTTGAGAAACAAATTCAGCTTTTGATTTAAATTTTTTTGCACAGTAAGACGTACAGTTGCATGTCCTTGGTGCTTGGGACAAACACGCTCAGTTTGCCTGGGGACCCTGTTAACAGGCGATTGGCCCCATTGGAGAATGTGGGACGTGTACAGTGTGTATGGGAGGTGGGCACCTAGTTTAAACATGTCTGTCCTGGTTTAAAATGACCTTTGACCACCCCTCTTCAGACTATACCACAAGGAAGTGACAGCCTGCCTAAGACCACTTATGTCTGAGGGATATTCCAAGAGCAATCTGGTGTCAATGTGATTTTGGCGTTCTGGAGTGTCAGTATCAGAAACCTTTTGTGTATTAAACAGATGCTATTAAACAGATGCTATTAATGTGGACCAATAAGGGGGCAGAAACTGTATGATATATAATTAGCCTGGCATTAATCAGACCAGGCCCTCATGAACTGGAAGGGAGGGGGGCAGATAACAGGGCACAAAGAATTGGGAGGGGGGGGATGTCCTGGGGCATTGGTGAGGTCAGGTGATAAGTCCCTGCTGCCTACCGTTTCCTGTTTCTAATAATATAAAATCACCCAGTTCATAGTGCCAACACCTGTCCAATTTCTCCTGTCTGATGCCCCCCCCCCTGCTTTGTGTTACAGACTTAACGATGATTCCTGGAGCTGCGGTGTAGATGTAAAATTCTTTCAGTTTTATTTTTATATGTATGCATTGATTCTGCCCTTTGTCAAGTGCTGGGAGATGGGGGGGGTCTAATCGGATTTTAATGGCCCTTGTGGGATGGGGGAGGGGGGCTCAGCCCTGGTATTTCATAATTAGGGCGTATAGCACACAAACTCATTATGGCTGATGGGGATTTCTCCCAAATAAGGCTGTAAGGTCGTGGCCCCCAGAGATGGAAATGCTTGGGTTCCATAAATATGGGAAGCATTATGGGAGTTGGGGGGGGATCAGCAATTCATGAAAAATGTTGCATTTATCTTCTTTTACAGCTGTGAGTAAATATTATGACGTCACCCTATAATATTGCAGTATCCGGGTACAGAGTCAAGTTAAACCAGACTGGGTGATCTTAAGATATGGCACCGGCAATTTCATGGGGCAAAATGGTGCGAGCTTTGAGGGCAAAGTGTTTGATAATATCCCATAAATATTATTCAGAAGCAATTTCCCTCCCTTGGCCTGTTGGAATTGTACTTCTAATGAGAGAAAGCTGGCCAATGTCAATATTGCAAAAAACCAGCGATATAATAGGAATATGAATTAAATTGTATTACTTACTACAGTTCATGTGAGGAGTTGACTCTAAGCTTGATGTAATATGAGTGTAATATTATATAAGAACCCAGGGGAGTAGATACATCTGAAAAAAATTTATTGTCCCTGTCTAGATAATACAATTTAGAGCACATCGGGTCTTTTATCTGTGTAATTAATCCTCAATTAGACTCGCCGTTTATCGGGCTAATGCTACCGAAATGACAGGAAAGCGAATGGCGGTGATAGCGGCTTTCTGTCACACGGCGGTGAGTGATGGAGTCTCCCGAATAACTCACCTCAAGAACCGCGGGGATGCGATCTCTTAAACATCAGACATGTCTGCGGTCCGCTGAAAGGATTTTAGACGGCAAAAAGGGTGCATTTAAACTCGAAAGGAAGGCGCGATAGCCGGTGAATGAAAGTAGCGGAGTAGCTTCCACTAGACGAGCTCAAAAGGGTCGCCTTGAAGGAAAAATGAATCTTTACAAGGGGTGAGGAGCTGCGATTTTTCCTCCTTTTTTAAGTGCAGTGTTTGTATTGCCCCAGAGGTGTGTAAACGTTAATATACCTTATGCGCTCCTGGCATTTTTTTTTCCAAGTGGATGTGATGTGAGCGTGTTCAGTTTTAATGAAACTCTCGGCTTCGTGCTTGATTGTTGGCTCCGGCCCAAATTTGCTCGTTCCAGTGTCTATTTAGACCAAATAGGAGGTCTTCTATCTTTTTATATATATATATATAAAAGAACTGTTAGACACCCCCCGGGCCGCACCCCAGAGATCTGCTGTGAAATCGTGGAGCATTTTTTTTCTTTTGCTTGGAAGGAAACACACCGCAGGGGAGGCTGAAAAGAGAGATGATAGAAAAAAAGTTTCATTAAAATTTAATTAACGTTGTATCAGCTTGGGAAAAAATACACTAGAGTTTATTTTCGAAGAATTATTGTTTTGTGTAAAACTAGTGATGAAAGCAAAATGTTTAAAGAGAGCAGTGTTTTTTTTATTAATCCCTGAACTGGGATCAGTGATTCACAGGCAGCAGAGTGAGTAGACAAAGGTTATCACAGAGAGGGATATAGGTTGATTACAGACAGCAGACATATCCACGATTTTAGGGTTCAATGATAAAATCTGAAGTATACACTATTTATATCTTCCTGAGACCCCACCGATTCATTTATGTCCATTGTAATGGACATTTTATTTTTGCATCTATCTTTTCACTGATGTAAGGAAACGTATTTATTCCTGTTGTACACTAAAGAGGACATGCAGTGAAATTAAAAATAAAAATTAATTTGAAAAAATCTAAATAGTAAGATGTCTTATTTCCTCCAAAGACAAATAACCTAAATTGAAGGACACTTTTTTCCTTGGGTCTCAGGAGGTGAAACACTCCGTGATAAAAAAAGTTAAGTACCCAGATGGAGTGGTGGAAATGAAATGACTCTGTATGTCGTGAAAGGTCATGTGACTGTATCGCAATGATTATGATATCAGATCAAACAGACTTGAGTTGGACACACTGCTGGCCCCATGTCAGTAGCGTATGCCCCCCCCCCCAGGCCTGGATACATGCTGTGATACGGTGCGGAAGGGAGTTGTACAGCTGTTGGATCCTGCAGACTGCCACTGGGTCTGGGTTGACACATGGTCGCACACACGTTCGATTGGGGAAAGATTGAGGATGTGACTGGCCATGGGAGGACCTCAACATGACGCAGGCAGTCCATAGACACACGACAGTCATTCATGGTGATGCAGAAACGAGATTCAACATGGTACAATGCCACTCGTCATCAGTCCATTCCTCCCGGGTACGGCACCATTCCAAGCCCAGCCGTTTCTGCGCTGGTGTTAATGGTAGCCTATGCATGGGACGGTGAACCCGTAGTCCGGCTGATGCCAGTCGACGAGACACGGTGTGGGATGGCATGGGGTGTCCAATACCTGTGTCTGGATGGCAGGCGCAGATGTCATGGGGTTCTGTAATGCTGGCCGCACAATACGACGATCCTCCCTTGGTGTGGTCTGTCTTGGGCGACCTTCACGACGTGTGTGGGTGCCCTCATGTGCCTATTGGTTCCAACATCGGGCGACTGTGACATCTGCATGCCCCACATGTTGGGCAGTTGCACGATACGGCCACCCAGCCTCATGCAAACCCACAATGTATCCCCTATGAAACTCTGTCAAGTGCTGGTAATGCTGTCTAATGCTGTCTAATGCGTCACACGAGGCATCCTCTGTGTCTGGTGACTAGGCGTGTCAGGTCTTTGCAAATCGAATCATTTACATACCCACCGCTGGTCTGCATGTGTACCCAATACCACCATTACTTCTGAGTGTTGAACTTTTTTTGTCACTGAGTGAATGTTGATTATACAGGTTTTTTTCTTTTAGCTCTATATATAATTATAGCATTTTGATTACATGCTATTAGAATAACACAAGCAATGTAGAGATTGTGACAGCAAGTCAAAACAGTGTAGATATGTAAAAAAAAAAAAGTTAGTCACACAATTTGTGCAAGACACAGTGTTGTTATTTAGCAAATATGTTATGTTCCCTTTTTTAGTTCTAAATCTCATTACAGCAGGAATCCACTGTTTTTGCTTGAAGGTTGACTGAGGAGGCCAGTGATGTCACAAAGGGCACTGTGCTGTGATTGGCTTGGTGCAAAAGTGTCACTGTGTGCTGTATGGCCCAGTATTGGCCCAGGCCTGCCTG